TTTTTCGTTCTCTGTCTCTCTGTCTCTCCAGTGAGCACACATGACCTACAGAAAAAAAATCTCTCTTAAAAAAAAAAAGATGTAAACAATGGGCCAGCCAGGTGGTGTGGTGGCTAAATCAGCTAGATTCCTCACAGGCAACTTCACAGTTCAAGTCCTCGACTCAACAGCTTGAAAATCGCAATGGGCACATGTGTGTGCGTGACCAAAATCCCTAGAGGAGGATGAGAGAGAAGGGACTGCACTGTGCCCATCCCGCTGGAAGGGTGATTCCTCATTTTCTCTTTCTTACACTCACTTTCTCTCTCTCTCTCTCTCTCTGTTTGTCTGTCTTCCTCATGAGAGCACATGTGTCCTATAGCAAACTTTTAAAAAGGAGAAAAAAGAACTAAATAGTATTTCTAGCTCATGGGCTATACAAATGATGCACAGCAAGCTAGATTTAGTTCATGCTCATGGGTGTGGTCTGCTTACTCATGCCCTCCAAGGTCCAAAAGAATCTGCTTTCTGTGCAGAGAATTACCATTCTTCAATTAAGAGATCCTATTTATACTCCACTATAAAAGCTAAACATCTTCTGATTTTAAATTTTTCAAAATGCACTGGGAAACATGAGACCTAAAGTTGGACTTTAGTTTAGAATGTGAGATTAAACATTTTAGCTATACAAGATTCACACAATCTTATGGAGTTCATAGCAACAAGGAATGACAACTTACAATAAAGATTTGCCCATGTTTGAAATTAGGAAATGACGCCAACGTAAGAACTAACCAACCAGGACCTTATCTTTTTATTGTTTTAAAAATTATTCGCAAGTTCTCTTCTAGCTCACGTGGCAATGTCCACGTCGTTCTGGAACACCCTGTCATCTGTAACCGGCCGCACGTAGCTGTGCTGACTCGTAACTCCAGTCAAGTCAGACCACAGACGCACGCCTCGTCTATCCAAAATGGCAAAACCACGTAACACACAGGTAAATATCTTCCTGAGTGTGCCAATCTTTATAGACTTTGCTTTTTCAAGTTACTTGGTGGACTAAAATCAGTGAGTCCCAAATAACTCAAATAATGATTAGATGAGAATGTTTGCATGTACGATTTGAATAAGTGGATTGTGAAAAATCAGTACAGTACAGTATCTCTTCCAGCATGTGTCAAAGAAGGGAGATAAGAAAAAAAGAGAGGGCAGAAGGGAGAGGGGTCTTTTTTTGTGGGAAGGAGAGAGATACTGCTTCGGAGGAAGCGGCCTCAGACCCCGGGCCGAAGGCCATGCAACGTGAGTCATGTGTGGGAAGTGCATGCTCTCAGGTCACCGGTGTGGGAGTTACCAGAGGGCTGAGCCAGCAGCTGGGGTAATGGTTAAGGCACTGGACGCCCACATGGGCCATCGTTTAAGCCCCGAATCTAGAAGCTTAAGACTCATGCACAGCGCATGCGTGTACATGCCCAAAGTCCCAGGAGGAGAGTGGAGAAGGGACCGCATGTGGCCATGCCCCCGTGGTGTGATCTCTCCTGTTCCCTCTCATTGACTCTCCAGCGAGCCCATACACTCTATGGCAAACATTTTTTAAAAAAGTTACCAGAGGCTCAGAAAAAAATCCTCAACCACATGATAAGACACCATGTACCAACTTTCCCTATATATATATTGGGTTGTCAGAAAATTCATGAAGCATTTTTGCATAGAAAAACAGGAAAAAAAGCATCATGACTTTCTGACAGCCCAAAAGCTGACAGGTCAGGAGATGATGACGAAACGTGCCGAGGCACATCGGCAGAGGCGGTGGCCGTCATGTCCCTGTCAGACCGTTAGATTTCCATCATAAAGGAGTTACGTGACGTGTCTAGCCTCATGAAGATAATTTAGCAAAGATAATCTTCGCAAAGGTGAAGATAATTAGAAAAAAGTTATACTGATTCACATTTCTAGCCACACTTTACAAGAGGGCTAACGCCTTCATATCTTACAGAGCACTAGTTATTATCAAATTATTTAATCTTGGCCAATCAGGTTGGTGAAACAGACTCTTTTTAATTTATATTCCTTTCATTGTCAACGAAGAACACTTCTTTACAGGATTATTGGTCATTTGTATTCATTTCTCCAGGAACCATGTGTTCATTTATTTCTTTCATTTCTATTGTCATAATGTTTCAACTACAATCAACAACTAAATTAAACATTTAGGCCACCCGTGGAGAGGTGGTTGAGGTGGCTGGAGCCCATATGGCCACCCATGTGGTTCAAGTCCTGGATCCCTACAGCTTGAGAAACACACCAGGTGCATGTGCAAGGGTACCCAAAAACATGAAAGGAGGGAGAAAAGGGGAAGGAATTATAGCATAACTCCCCTTAGGGGGTGTTGTCTCTGTTTCCCTCTCTCCCTATCTCTCTGTCTCTCTCTGACAAGCAATATGCCCTTTGGAAAAAATTAAAAAAAAAAAAACCACTTAATGCCTTCAGGAAAAAAGATGTCAGTTTTAACTTTAAAGCACTAATATTATGGTAATGAGAAAGTAATATTTTTCTAATTCTTATACCCAAAAAATATATACAGATTTTAATGGAATTAGTTTAGACTTGACAATGCCAGTAGACATATTAAAAACTTTCTTGGAATAAAATTGTCGAAGAAACCCTGCTCTTAAACTCATATCCTGAATACAGACACTGTTAATGAAACAAAGTTTTGTCTCAGTAACATGTAAGCAATTAAATCTTTCACATTATCAAAGATTTATTATCTTTAATGTATTACATTTTTGTTCCTTGCTTCATCATAATTAAAAAATAATGATTTATGAGCATAACTAATTTTGCTTTCATTATACCCTATAAAGCAATAAAACAAATTCTTTCTCGGTCACAACAACAGATTTTATATAAGCTTATAACAACAGGTAGCTATTTTTAATTTTACCGCATTACATTCCGATATCTATATTTTCATTCTTTTTGGTGTTTATTAAAATAAATCAATCACCGTCAGGGTAAACGCTTTGAAAGTACTAACCCTTACAACGTGAGGTATACAGTAAATACACTTTCACAAATGAGTCATTTGAGAGCAATATAACAAGAACAACAAAAAGGCAGGAGTCATTTACACCATATTGCTTCACCACGTGGCAACGAACTGAGAAACGGGCCCTGTCACCACACAGGCGCAGACACTCTGCCATCCGTCCCTGGCACGGGTTCCCCTCTGCCTTTCAGAGGAGGCTTTCTCAGCCGCCGCCTGCTGGTCATTAGCTGTCCTGCATACTGTAGGCACTTTCGGCCTCTGTGACTGTCTCCGGACCCTGTCAAATGCTCCCTGGAGGACAGGGTGCCCTGGGTAAGGACTGCTGGTTAAGAGCGAGCAGACGCTGTGACTGCCAACGGTCAAAGACAACAAGTTAGCGTAATGGCTATGTCGCTGGACTCCCACGTAGTCGACCGCAGTTCGCATCCCGGACCCGGTGGCTTAAAACTCATGCCGGGCGCGTGTGTGTGTGTGCCCAAGATCCCGAGAGGAGAATGGAGGAGAGAGGATTGCAGCATGGCCATCCCCCCTGGGGGGTGATTTCTCACTTTCTCTCTGTCTCTCTCTATCTGGCAAGTGCACGCGTCCTACAGCCAAAACCTTCCCCCCCCCAAAAAAAAGACAACACCAAAGTGAGACCCCTGGGAAGAGATGGAGAGCTCGGAGAACGGGCCCAGCCACGGGGGGCACAGGCAGTGGGTGCTGCAGGGCAGTGCTGGAGCCACGCTGAGAGGCCTAACGCTCAGATCCCCGCAGGTCTCAACACACAACATGCCTCATTGAGGGCACATGACAAAACCCTCTGAGGGGTCCCTGCCTATCTGCCTGTCTCTCTTACTCTTT